CCCCAAAACCCCAAAACCCCAAAACCCCAAAACCCCGTTACGTTAATGCCTAAGAATTTTTTGGAATTTAGTTAAATAAAACGGTCTAAATTCAAAGCAAATTAATAATTCAATTTTAAATATGAGCACAGACGATCAAGCTAGAGCATCTTCTTTGTCTTTTTATAGAGTACTGCATATTCAATTAATTATGACATTAATTTTAGAGATTTAAAAGAGTTAATAAGTAGTTCCAAGACCATAGTGAGGATAAGGAAAATGACTAGTCTTCATCTTTTTATCTTACAAATCAAAATTGCAGCAAGAGTGTCTTGATTCAAAATAGCAAAACTTAGAAATTTAGCAAGAATGCAATCAACAAGACCTAAAATTAATATGATTCTTCACCTGAAAGCCTAAATAGATGCGACACAAAATCAGATCTTCACGGAAATAGCTTTATAAACGCTTAAAATACTCTTAGATCTCCTATTAGTTCAAATATCTTGTTGCCTTCAACAAAATCAAATATTCAGAATTAAAAGGACTTGAATAGAAATTCAAGCAAGTTATCACAAAATAAGTACCTGAAATAAGTACTTCAAGCATAACAAGATTAAAACTAGAATAAATAGCAATAGCATTTGCTTAATCAATAGCTTTAATTGAACTCAAATGAAAACTCAAGCTTCTTACAAATAAACAGTGGTAAAGAAATGATTTATCCTTAATCTCATCAGTCGTCTGTATATTAAACTTTGAATGCAGGAAATATTAATTTGAACAATCAGCAAATATCTTGTCGTACTGCATTACCAGTAATAGGAGGAGATAATTAAAACTCTAATGCAATTTAGCAAGAAATTTAAAGTCTGTGGAGTCAGCCTAACCACAATTAAAAACTTGACTAAGAAAAGTACAATATTTTCAATGATGATTGTAATATGAGAAGATTAGCTTTGATGAACAGTAGTAATAAGAAAAGAAATAGCCAAAGGAAGAGATATAATGTAAACTAAGAATTATCTCCTGTGTCCTCATAGTCAGGTTTGCTAATTAACGGACTAGGGGATTAGCTTAGCGAATCTTAATGCAGAGAACTGTAAAAACTATCTAAGATTCAAAAAGCTAGCTTTACATAGCATGACAAATATAAAAATCATAAACCAATCAAGCATCATAAGAATAATACCTAAGTCTTAACTTAAAAGCGATGCTCTATTTAAATTGAATAAAGCATTAGTCCTTAAGATTATATTAAAAACGGTGCTAAGATAAATTCAAGCGATGAAGAGGAGGACTAGATAATTAAAGCTGGCAAGCTTCACCATGAAAGGTCTAATAGTGGAAACTACAAAACAAACTCTCATTATACAAATAATAATAGCACTTAGAATAACGGCAACCCTAATAACATTCAAAGATTTATATTCTTAGGAACTGATTCAACTATTACACCAAGTAATATAAATGGGAACTCAACAAAGAATGAATTTAAATAAAATTTGCAATAAGAAAGCCTCATGGATGATAGTTGTGGGCTTAATAAGTACAAGAACAATGCCAATCAACAGATGAAGAATTAGATCTCACCGATACAATATCAAAATAATCAAGGCAAAATTTTAGCAATTAACAACAATACAGTATCTGATCATAATACTTTAACGATTGAACATGCTTCCCCTTCTATCTCACACCAAAATCAAAATACCTAGAATGATTAGTAGTATTTCTAGCTTACTAATCAACAAATAAGCACTATCAGGAAAAAGATGGAAGCTATAGCAAAAGAACTTGCTGAAACCGAGGAGATAGGCTTAGATGAAAATACTCTAATGAGATTATTTGACATGAAAGCTGATAAATTACTTAGTATGACACAAATCAACAAGTAATTTACTTTTGAAGAAAACTTGAACTTCCCACAACTTAATCAAAGTTAAAGTTAATCTAATAGCAATTAAAGTTACAACTAGCACTACTACTCTAATCCTTACAAATAAGGAAGTCAGAATAGAATAAGGATAATAGAAGAGTAAAGTTCAAATAATAACAGCTTCAACTAAAGATCAATATCTAGATAAATGACAGGAAATCAACAAGTGGATACATTTTTAACTGATTAAATGGATAATAGAAATCAAAACCTAATGAACAATGTCTTTAAAAGAGAAGGATCCAACTAAACAATCAGTCCTAAATCAAGAAAATCAAATTCAGCCAAGTTTAATGAACACTTTCATAATTTTAATGATGAAGAAGCAACATAAAATAATGGAATCATGGGAAGACAAAAAAATTTGTCCAAAGAATTTAGGGATACATTTGCTGTGAAAGACATCAACTCACTTTCATAGTCAGCTATTGGTATTAATAACTAAACTCTAGAAAATCTAGATCAATCTTGCAATAATGGAGTGAGACTATCAGTAAGCAATTTAAAGTTAAATTAAACATCCGGTGCTGGTTACTTAAATGGTTACGGAGGTGATTCGACCGTAATTATTACGAATCATAATGGATGTGAGGAATCAAAATATTATACTTAGAACTAATTCTAAGATGATTCTATAGGAAATCATTTACTTAAATCCGGTTCATCTAATAATAGATCAAGAAGATCAGTTGGAAAATCTCTTAGAGGAAGCTAACTTAGGGGTAGATCTGGACTTTCAAATGAGAATTCTTAAAAACGAAGTAATAGGCAATCTGAGGATAAAACGTCAATAAAGTAAAGATCTAGCAGCAAGAAGAAATATAGTACCATTAAATCAAGATTTATGGAGCACTATAAGACTTAAAATTCCTAGATAAAGAAAGATCATTCCTTAACCATTGATAACAGAGAATCTCTTAATAGACATAATCAATCATCAGTCTTAGTAGATCCATTTGCAAATGATCATCTGATATCACTCTCAGATTAGTTTATCAACAATTAAGCTTAGATTTATGTGGCACCTTATAGAAATATTCCAAATGTATCAGATGGGTTGCAGCAATCATAAAAAGGATTAATTCCTTAATTAGAAAACAGTTAGTAACAGCAAATTAATTTATAGCAACAAAACAATCAATTTTTAAGCGGTTCAAATAATATTTAAGTTCAATATCATACTGATAATGGTAGCATCTAGCACAGTCATAATAATAGATAACTTTCAAAGACTCCAGCCTTTCCTGGCTAAACTCTAAATAATCCGAAATCAAGACAAGCAGTTAAAAGTCTTAAAAGCAGATCTTTGATTGCTAAGAGAAAATCTAGCACAGGGAAGTAAAGTATGTAATCCAACAAATAGTTAACACCTAGTGTTAGCTAGCTAAGATAGTAAAGGTAAAACTCAGCTTAATCTGGGCTGACTTAGAAGTCCAACAATCAATTGAAAGAAACATAAATGACAAACTAATCTAGATTCACGCATCACAGATTTGATTCCTAATCAAACTGCTCTAAATCAGCTCATTCAAAGTAAAATAGAAAAACTTAGCAGTCAGCACCAAGATGCAACTGCTTATAAAAGCTTTAAATCACTAAGGAGACAATAAAAAATGCCCTCAAAGTCAAATATGATGCAAGATTAAAAGATATGAAGCATTAGTTTGAAGCGAAATTTAAGAAAAATGAACAAATCTGGAAAGGCAGATTAGATTGCCATAAATAAGCATTGCAAAAGGAGCAATTAAAGAGCCAAGAGCTATAATACTTGATATAGGAAATGAGTAAAAGAATATCAAAGGTAGAGAAAAAGAACAAAGAATTTTACTCAGTAATTAAGAAGTAAGGATTGCAAAGTAATCTTAACAACACCAACTCAGCTTCATTTGGAGCTTAATAGCATAGTTTTGTTTAGAAAAATGATTAATAACTTCAAACTGATGATTTATAAGAGCATTAGAAAGGATAAAGAAAAAGAAAAAGAAGAGGTTCAAAGCTAGCATAGAGAGCTTATAAAAAATCATCCTTAACTACAGAGTAGAACATTTAAGCTAGAATTAAAGACTAGAGCTTAAGCTCTCTTTCAAGCAGCGAAGATGATGATTTAAACACTAATCAGCAAGAGAATATGGGAATGTTAGCAAATAGTATCAAAGAAGATGAGGATAAGCTTAGAAGAATAGAGAAAATCTTATATAAAAAATGAATAGCTCAAAGCATACAAACATTTGATGAATTAAAATTATTAGCTTTATTAAAAGGTTTTAACATGAAAAATTGTTTATACCTTAACTCTAAATAATTTAAAATCAATGTAGCAATATGATCCGTGGGGTTTTGGGGTTTTGGGG